CACCCCTCACCCCTCACCCCTCACCCCTCACCCCCAACCCTCATCCCTCACCCTCATCCCTCACCCTCATCCTCACCCTGTCTATCCCTTTTCCTTCCCGATCCCTATCCTGATCCCTATCCTGATCCCTAAAGCTGTCCATATTATTTACAGGCCAGCTACAAAAACAACTAATTCATGCTCGAACACTGCAAGGAATCACTTCTCATTACTTTGATTTATCTTCCCTTGTGAGACATATGGTACAGAAACCAAATCAATTCACGCGATTTTACCTCAGATAACACTGCAGGCGCATTATTACATGACATTTGAAATAGTTTTGCGTTACAAATAAACACAAATATATCACTTCCAGCATTTGTTTGGTTCTTTGTATACGTGTATGTCAAAACAGAGCATTTGAAATCCCTTTTCGTTCCAACGACTTCCCGGTTTCTCTGAGGCTTGTAGAACAATTTCGATTAATCCAATCCGTAATGAATGTTAGGACCTGAACGATTCGATTCAATAAATTCCATTTTAAAACGTTTTCAAACCCAAATATGTCACAGTATTCCACGAAGCGTCCATTAGTGCAGGATTCGAACTAACAACATTTCTCTTTGTCTGCTGTCCTTTTCAATCTGCACAAAAGGATATATCCACGCACAATCAACACTTTGATATCGGTGTCTCCAATCTCTTCGTATTCAATCCGTACCATACAAAACCAAGCTTCAAATGTATTATTCATTCTGTACCCATCACCAATTCGTTCCTCAACCCACAAAGCTATAAACGCTTTCACAAGCTGTTCAAGATGTAGAAATAGGCCCGTTTCTCCGTCTCCCACCCAGTAACACGTCAACCCTTGCACCATTGTATGCCTGTTTTTACCTGGCGGCCAAGGCCCTTGTATTTGTTATAAGCACTGTTACCTCTGCAATGAAGTCTTCTCCTCTTGTACCTATTGTGTGGGGAACAATTACCGCTATAAGCTAAAATGGGGTCTGAATTGGCCAGCTAATTCGCCCCTCGTCACTTGGGAGTTTTTACGTTGTAGAGATTACTCATGCCTTTATTTGTTGTTCCACTCCAACAGTTTGCTATAGAAATCCATCTTAATTTTATTGAGGGCTGAAATTGTATGGTCGGATGCTCAGTCATAATTCCTCCATTCTGACGTTTTGGGGAATAAATAGAGTGCTTTATAACCCGCACCTGACGCGACAAAGCTTACAAAATATGTTTGTTTGCCTGTGTTGGATTCGTTTTCAGGAAGGAGAAGAAATTAGTGTCATTTTCAATGCAGGAGGAGACGGTCTTCTGCCTGGCGGGGTCGGTTGTGATAGGATGAAAGGAGGTTAGCAGCACTCTGATTTCTGGGATTAAAGCCTCTCTTTTATCAAATGCCCCGAAAGATTGGTTCTGACCGATCAGGGATATGTTCATTTTTGAGGAGATGCCAGGTTTCAGTGAAGTGGATTGCTCTAAAACTGAACATGCTGGTGGAGCCAAACCGATTTTACATGTATGACATTGTGCGTGAAAGGTTGTCTTGCCTGAGTGAGTGAGTTAGTGAGTTTAGTTTTAGGCCGCACTCAAGCATGGGTGCGGGTACTGAAGATCAATATTCTAACCCGGACCTTCACGGGTTGTCTTGCCTGAAACAAATTGGTCTGCATCATGTAAAATGATTTAAAAGGAGGAATAAACGATGGGAGATGTTAATTATGAACTGTGTGTAATTGTTGATATCATTCACATGGTGAAGGAGTAATATACACCCAAACGTCGTCATTCAAAATACAGAAGTTTGCAACCATAACTTCCCCTTTTTGGTGTATCACCTGCACGACCCCTACCATATTCACACTACTATCTGTGCTTCCAAACTGTACCCGGTTATGACACAGCGACACTGCAATATATCCATCCAAACTGCACAACCCTAACACAATCACATTTCTATATGTACTACCAAGCTGTACCTGGCTATGACACAACCGCACTACAATATATCCCTCCAAACCGCACGACCCCTTACACAATCACATTTCTATATGTACTACCAAGCTGTACCTGGCTATGACACAACCGCTCTACAATTTATGTATCCCTCCAAACCGCACGACCCCTAACACAATCACATTTCTATATGTACTACCAAGCTGTACCTGGCTGTGACAACCGCTCTACAATATATCCCTCCAAACCGCACGACCCCTAACACAATCACATTTCTATATGTACTACCAAACTGTACCCGGCTATGACACAACCACACTACAATATATCCATCCAAACCGCACGACCCCTAACACAATCACATTTCTATATGTACTACCAAGTTGTACCTGGCTATGACACAACCGCACTACAATATATCCCTCCAAACCGCACGACCCCTAACACAATCACATTTCTATATGTACTACCAAGCTGTACCTGGCTATGACACAACCACACTACAATATATCCCTCCAAACCGCACGACCCCTAACACAATCACATTTCTATATGTACTACCAAGCTGTACCTGGCTATGACACAACTGCACTACAATATATCCCTCCAAACCGCACGACCCCTAACACAATCACATTTCTATATGTACTACCAAGCTGTACCTGGCTATGACACAACCGCTCTACAATTTATGTATCCCTCCAAACCGCACGACCCCTAACACAATCACATTTCTATATGTACAACCAAGTTGTACCTGGCTATGACACAACCGCACTACAATATATCCATCCAAACCGCACGACCCCTAACACAATCACATTTCTATATGTACTACCAAACTGTACCTGGCTATGACACAACCGCTCTACAATATATCCATCCAAACCGCACGACCCTAACACAATCACATTTCTATATGTACTACCAAGCTGTACCTGGCTATGACACAACCGCACTACAATATATCCCTCCAGACCGCACGACCCCTAACACAATCACATTTCTATATGTACTACCAAGCTGTACCTGGCTATGACACAACCGCACTACAATATATCCCTCCAGACCGCACGACCCCTAACACAATCACATTTCTATATGTACTACCAAGCTGTACCTGGCTATGACACAACGACACTACAATATATCCATCCAAACCGCACGACCCCTAACACAATCACATTTCTATATGTACTACCAAACTGTACCCGGCTATGACACAACCGCACTACAATATATCCATCCAAACCGCACGACCCCTAACACAATCACATTTCTATATGTACTACCAGTCTCTAACATGTGAATACGTAACCCGTTGAACGAAAACCAAACATCATGCCTTACGTTCACAAACGTAAGTACCCATCGATCTGCTCATATGAAATATATAATTATAACGTCATGCTCTAATTATCTAATGCTAAGCAGAAAGCCTATCATTTTTCAAAACGTAATACCTAATTAACCAAACAGCCGCAATAAACAGGGTGTTGTATGTTCCTTTCAGGCAGCTCGTGTTAGCCAATAACAAACAAGCCTTCGTTAGCCTACCTATTTGTCTCCAATTTCCTCATCCAAATGCACCAGTCAGTATCAAATGACATCAAATGCGTATATCAAGTTGCACGTGCATAACGCATTTTCTATTGTGATGTCATCTATGAATATATACGCAGCACCATTCGAGACAATGCGGCATGAGACCAATATAAATTATAGTATAATGGATAAACACGAATCAGCATTTTATGATTCGATAAAACACTGCGCGTTAGTTGCCCATTAGGCTAAAGTTTCGCCTTTTCATACAGCGCTGAATCTAAATATTACCGTTGTATCATATTTCACACGTTTCACAATGGTTGCAACAGACCTCTAATGGTGTGCGCATGTCCTCGTCGTTTACTTTCTTTGTTTAATTGGGCCGGACTTCAAACAGGTTCCCGAAGGCTCGATACTTACCGGCTTTCTGTAGTAAACCATGTTGGAAGACACAATATATAGGAAACGTTACCAAAACATTTCTTGACAAGCAGTTGACATCCCTGGCGCCATGATGGCTGGCGTACGTCAGAGGTAGTTGTGCGATATCAGGTTAAGATAGGTCCGTGAATAGCAGGAACTTGATGATGTTGAGGAAGTATTACACTCCTTCAAAGTGTCATTCTTACAAATAGAGAAAGTCTGGTTCATCAGTCACTGGTCCGTTTGGGTTGTTTATTTAATTTTTCCACTTTCACACGGTATTTATAAGTTTTACCCTCGTTTCTTTATCCTAAATTTCACCATTTTTTTTATGCGTGTCCTTGTATCCCCCTGTAGCTCAGGTTGATGCTCATGATGTCAGTCACTCGCCTGGACCAGGCTCGGTTATTTACAGACCACACTCATGTCACTGGAATGTTGTTACAAATTAACCTTTTCGCAAATACGATGCTGTGTTTTCTTCATTTATATGTGTATATCATAGCATAGGTGTATTTATGGGCATTTCACAAAGACGTGTTAATTGTATGTTGACAATTCAGTTAGTTGACGAATACCGTTCAGAACATGCAGCCAACAACTGTCTTAACCCCTGCATTGGCGTGGCAAGAGAGGTCAGTCTGACCGCTGTAAAAGTGTACAGTGTATAAACACATGTACAAAAAGAATGAGGAAATACTATAATGTAACAGTTATATTTTGTTCTAGTATGTATTTTGTCATGCCGAGACTTATTGAGATAATGTAGACTCCATTAAGTCCTTAAACCCGACATTTACATTTCATGCAAGTAAGACGTAAACTAGACTGGCAATGGTACGAATACAAGAACGGCAATATTAACACTGTACTGCTTGTAAGCGTGGACACGACAAGACCCAGTGTGGCTTTGCTTACTAATCATCCCCACATATATTTTCAGGCGCGTTGATATGACTGGCAGTGGTATAACTGTGGTAATGTCCAATAATATTAACACTGTACTACTTGTAAGCATGTGAACATGACATGACCATTGCGATATTGCTTACTATATCATCCATACATGTATTTTTCAGGCGAGTTGACAAGACAAAGCCATGGACGAACCAACGATCTACAAGTCGCCAACAGCTCACCATCTGATAATCCCCGTCCGTTCACATCGTTGCTGCAAACGTCTTCCACAACATCTGGAAGGCAACAAGTCATCAACTACCACCACCGCAACAATGCAACCATATGCATTTACAATAGCGAAAAAACATCAAAGAAAACGAAAACATTCAAATAAACTGACCACCAACTGTAACGACAGCCCTCTGGTCATTTGCACTAATGATGCAAACATCAAACGTCCACGTGACCACACCCGGAAGTGGCTACTAAAATCTGACCAGAAACTTAAAGGCGGAGAAGACGCAAGAAGGCGTAATACCTCTGTTAACTCGTATTGTACGCCAACAGGCTGTGTATTTCCCGAGGACGTGAGTGATAATTGGTGAAGGTCTAGCGGTAATATCAGAGACCAGACTAAGTTACTAGACGGCGACTGAAGCGTGTGGTACTACTGGATTACCTGCAAGGGAGACGTGGTCACAGATACATCACAGATACGGATACAGCAACAGGGGGAGTTGATAATTCACATACAGGTAGGTCTATTCGCTTCAGTGAATGACTTGTAAACTAGCAGTATTTTTATAAAGTGAAGTATGAAAGCTTGACGTTTCGGTTCAGTCACCTGTTTTGTAGTGACTCGACCATGTGTCTGTATATGGTTCTATGTGGGCTTTCTATATCGTAATTCATCAATATTTTTTGCATAAAATATAATCTATGAACATTTTCGATATGTTTTATTAATAACAGAAATGTTTCACGACCAAATGATAATGATACGGATACCTGAAACAAACACTGCTCGTCACAAAGAAACATTCTCAAATTGAATGACCTTTTTACCGGGTCAACAGATCAGTGTGTATGAATGTCGCATTCCCAACTCCCTGGGGAGTATTCAATCCCCATACAAGAAACGCCATAAAGTAAATATGTTCATGGACCGTTCCACCATCACAGACGCCACATTAGAGAAATACGGGTCAAAGCCGGGTCAAACTCAACTCGATCGCAAGCATGTACACACTTTATATTACTTTCATTAAAACCACGTATTTCAGCAACATTGTTTCACATAAACAAAACAATAATTTAACGTTTTCAATTATATATTTAATCAGTGTATGAAATAAGCCAAAAACCCAGCCAGACATCAGGGCTGGTAACTTCAAAATGTTACCACCCCAAAATGGATTTAACCAGACCAAATATGTTGAATTGTATGGAAGATCAAAAATTTATACCAGATCATCGGGGTGGATAGCTGTAAATTTAGACCGTCCGTCAGAAATCTAGAGCGTCTCGGGTGGTCGGACGTGCCTTATTTCATACACTGGTTTAATATGTAAACCGAAGGCAATCCACTGAAGAAACGTATATTCAGCTTATATTCAACTTATATTCAGCGTGTATAAAATCGTACAGGCTGTCTTCTCGTTACGACCATTGTGAAAGTGCTTTAGAAGGAAAGCTATAGATCATTATCGAAGGCAAGATCGCATGCTGCATTGTCCCAATACAACCGTTCAGTAGATAGGTAGAGAATCCGATCGTCCATGGGAAAATTTGATTAAGTGAGTTTATTGTTAGTCAACTTTATCATGGGACAATCAAAGGCTGGGCTGTATTCACATGACCGACAAACGGATTTGTAAAACCCAAATCCGATCTGAATAGCTATATTATCTCGTAGGTCTTTCACTGCAAGTTGTGTGCGAAAGCTCCTCCGAACAATGTGTTAACCGAAGGAGTAATGCTTAGCAAGCAGACTGTACTACAATTACACCACGAAAATAACAAAGTTAAATTCGAACAATACGAAAAAGCTTTTGCTATTCTCTCCCCAAAGCCTATAGTCTTGGCTATTGTTGTTGGAGGTCTTTGGGGAAGAATGGCTGGAGACTCTAGCTAGGTATTACGTATCGCATTTCGCGCTTGGAGAAAAACTCTTTTATGTTCTATTCTGCTTTGTAACATTCCAGCGTATTGAGAAAGAGAAAGAACTCTACCTAGCTACACAGATACGCACATGTAAAAAGAGCTAGTCTATCTGTGAAGGGCCCAATCGCCATTCAATTTGGACAAACGATACGGGAAATGGCTGCCTCAGTTCACAATATATTCCGTAAAGGTATATTCACGCTTTTCAATTGGCGTTGTCCAGGCCATGCTGAAGTCGTTGTTCTGTCTACAATGCTATCTTGATGGTGTATGGGCTCTTTTGGTGTTTCGGGATAAGGTACCTGACCCTGTTTCCAAATACGGGCTGCCGTCCATAATTCAAAGCCTATTGTTTACCACAGCCGGTAATGCACAGAACATTAATATGGGTCTTTTGTTGCTGTGTTTTCGAGATTCTTCGTCGGAATCATTTTGTGTGGCTGTTGATGTGGAGGGATCGTTGATGCTTGAGTCGAGTGGTGTTTGGTTGGACTGTTTTGAAGAACCTACAGCTCATGTGTGTGTACCTACAACTGCAGCTGATGTCACAGCTGTAAGACACCTGATCTATACGAGGCAGCTGGAGAATGAGTCTAAGGATATGGGTTGTGTTGGTCATGAAGGACTATGTGTGTCACCGTTTGAGCTGGAATATTTACTGACACCAAAACAGGTTTGTGTAATATTTCACTCAATCAGACCATTTTTCTTATGGTACGTCTCTCACATATACAAGCAGTATGCGTTTTTAATAACCACATTATATTTTCTGATTACCAGGCAAGCCATGGTTGCACCCCCGTGGTGAATGGTGTCTTGGAGCATGTACATTCTTTTCATTCCAAAATGGTACACTATCCTTCCCGATATGTATATTTGACACAGTATTTGTACTATAAACGTTCAACGTTTTTAAACATGGGTGACCTAGTCTTACCGTAATTTACTGAACAGAGTGGCCTCATTTAAGTGTGCCAGAATCTTCTTACCCTATGTTCGATTCTCGGTTTGCACTGATTACTTTTAGGTTTGTCAGCTCGTGGTGAAGGTCTACGGGTTACGATTTGACATCTTTTTCCAGTTCATGATGCACACACCACTGACAGCCATTGGGAACCTTGTATGTTATCTGAACCCGCTTAACGCCTGGACATTTACACACATACTGTAGTCATTCCTCCCTTTGGTTCAGAATATCTAACTGAGAGTTGTCCTATTTTATTCAGGCGGTTGGGTAGCCAGGTGGTTAAAGCGTTCACTTGTCACACTGAAGACCAGGGTTCGATTCCCCACATGGGCACAATGTGTGAAGCCCATTCCTGGTGTCCCCCGCCGTGATGTTGCTGGAATATTGCTAAAAGCGGCGTATAACTATACTCACTCACTCATATTTTATTCCAAGAGAACAGAACTGTCTGTAAAATGGTTTTGTTGATGTCTAATTTTAGTTACACGGTGTTGCAACAATGATTTATATTCTTTATATAATTCACTTTTTCTAGCGTTACCGCGTATGCAATGCATCTATGACGTTCATGAACCGACCAGCTGAAGATATGCAGGGGAGTTTCATGAAGAGCGCTTATTAACCCGCATTAACGTATCATGTAACACCGACTTAATACAGACAGTCAAATATTTGTGATAAACCACGCGTGAAATAGTTTTATCACTTGTGTAGTTCATCCCAAACACGACATATATTTTTCATGAAATAGTATTTTTGAATACTCAAAGGTCGTTTATTTGTGTAGCACGTTTAAGCAACGCCTGAGCATAGAGATATATGTGTATTTGAAGCTTGCAGCATTTGGTGTTTGCTATTGAGGTCGTAAGACGGTTATGAATCGGATCTACATGGGTGGTGTCTGGTGTTTAGACACTGAACAGCTGTCTTGAGCAAGCCTGAAGCGTTTCAAAGGCAGTTATAATATTCCCAAATATTTATACTCGTCTGGAGGACTTGGGTTTAAATAGGTGTCGGTTCTGCATGTTAGTTCGGGGGAATTAATATCAAGTGTGATGTTATGAGCTGAAGTACTTAAGTGTGGAGATGAGGATGGGGATGAATCAGATCCTTGTGGGTGTTCAGAGGCTTCTGCTGGGTTCTTTACCCAGGTTGCATGGGACTTCCTTTCTTGGATGTTATAGAGACAGGGCGGATGGTTAATTAGCGTGAAGGTGGGCGGATGGACGAGTTAATTGGTCGGTAAGTGTGTGAGTGGGTGGGTCTATAAGTGGGTGAGCGAGTGAGTTAGCTGATGAGTGAACGTGTAATGGGTGGCATTGTGATTAAGTGGATGGGCAAGTGAATGTGTTGGTGAGTGTGTGAGTGCGTGGACCTATAGGTGCCGTGAGTAAACGGATGCCAGATTGGTCTATAAGTTGGTGAGTAAACGGATGGACAGATTGGTCTGTAAGTGGGTGAGTAAACGGACGGACAGGTGGGTCTGTAAGTGGGTAAGTAAACGGATGGGCAGATGGGTCGGTAAGTTAGGTAAGTAAACGGATGGGCAGATGGGTCGGTAAGTTAGGTAAGTTAACGGATGGGCAGATGGGTCTGTAAGTGGGATGAGTAAACGGATGGACAGATTGGTTGGTAAGTGGGATGAGTAAACGGATGAGCAGATGGGTCTGTAAGTGGGATGAGTAAACGGATGGGCAGATTGGTTGGTAAGCTTAAGTGGGATGAGTAAACGGATAGGCAGATTGGTTGGTAAGCTTAAGTGGGGTGAGTAAACGGATGGGCAGTTGGGTCTGTAAGTGGGATGAGTAAACGGATGGGCAGATTGGTTGGTAAGTGGGGTGAGTAAACGGATGGACAGATGGGTCTGTTAGCGGGGTGAGTAAACGGATGGGTAGATCGGTCGGTAAGTGGGGTGAGTAAACGGATGGGCAGATGGGTCGGTAAGTGGGATGAGTAAACAGATGGGCAGATTTGTCAGTTAGTGGGTGAGTAAACGGATGGGCAGATTGGTCGGTAAGTGGGTAAGTAAACGGATGGACAGATGGGTCTGTAAGTGGGTAAGTAAACGGATGGGCAGATGGGTCGGTAAGTGGGGTGAGTAAACGGATGGGCAGATGGGTCGGTTAGTGGGGTGAGTAAACGGATGGGCAGATTGGTCGGTAAGTGGGGTGAGTAAACGGATGGGCAGATTGGTCGGTAAGTGGGGTGAGTAAACGGATGGGCAGATGAGTCGGTTAGTGGGGTGAGTAAACGGATGGGCAGATTGGTCGGTAAGTGGGGTGAGGAAACGGATGGGCAGATTGGTCTGCAAAGGAGTAAGTAAACGGATGGGCAGATGAGTCGGTAAGTGGGGTGAGTAAACGGGTGGGCAGATTGGTCTGCAAAGGAGTAAGTAAACGGATGGGCAGATTGGTCGGTAAGTGGGGTGAGGAAACGGATGGGCAGATTGGTCGGTAAGTGGTTGAGTGAGTGTGTCGGGAATGAATTTAGATCGTAAACCGTAAAGCGTCGATATGTGATATCACCATCCAGTAAGCGTTTATATGTGATATCCCAACCCATATGTGATATGTCCGCCCTTCAAAGCGGTGACATGTGATATCATCACGCTGTACAGGGCAGCAC